GTAACCTATAGTGGAGAGAATATGAGCAGACAGCCTCATGTGGCTTCAGCTTCTATACAAGCTCCGGCTCTATAGGTCCCAGGGGAGAGAGAGGGATGAGACAAGGCATCCATTTGTAGGAGAGGCGAGTTGTGGTTATAGCAGCACATACGCTGAGAGTTCAAGCTTCCTTTGCTGCTTGTTGTGTAACAGTGGTTGGTTTTCTGTTGCTTTGAAGACTCAGTGTGTTATGTGTCTGCAATAAGAACGGTTCAGCCAATTATAACAGAACAGCTACATGACAGCAGAACATCAGATCTCCTGACTGTTTAGGTCTCATATAAACTACACTCAGATACTAATAAGCACATGCTCTAATTAATAAATGCCTACAGTCCAGTGAGGGCCACAGGCTGGAGCCAGTCGCTGGTAATGAAGAGTGTTTGACTATTAATGGTTTAAAAAGTCAAACAGCTGTTGGTTTTATATATATATATAAAACCTCAGCAAACATGCAGACTCTCTGACCCATCCTCTGACAGTGGGTCAGTGGGTCTGGTCTCCTCTGTCCACTGACAAATCAGCTTCATAGCATGGCTGATATCAGTGTGGCTCCTCTCAGGCTACATACACACTACTACATAAAACACATCTCTTTTGCTGCGTTGACGCCTGGCTTTTAAAGCATATTCATTCATATGCTTTAACATTTCATGATCTGGTCGACTTTAAAACTGCACAGATAAAGCACAAAATCACTTACTCCCAAACTGGATTCAGAGGCTGTTTGAGATCAGAGAGAGTCTGTATGAACTGAGGGGAATAAGTGCATTTAAAAAAACAAGGGTAAGGACCAATATTAAAGAAACTGCATATCTGTCAAATGGGAAAACATGTGGATGAGTTGTGATTTATGAAATAAGAATGTGTAGTTCACTTGGTAAATTAAAAAAAAAAAAAAAATTTAAAAATAGCGTGATAAATAAATACAAAACTGAGATCAGCCATCATAAATGTAGCAGTGAAAGGTTTTTTTTATTGACTTTTTTTTCTCATTTTCTTGTTGAGTGTTTTGTTTGTACATAGTTCAGTGTCAATCTTAGTGGTGAAAAGTTCATTCTGTTTCTGCTTCTCCTCATTCCTGTTTTGGGTGACTATACGCTGGCCTGTAGTGAGAGGCTTGCCGATTCATGTAAGGTTATGCAGCGAGGGGAGGTGTAATAAGCCATAGCCTCAGCCTACACCTTTTCAGCCAATATTGGTGTGTTTTTTTTCCGATGTGTATTGACTATGTATAAATATTAATAAGGACTGAAATAAAATTAAACTGAAATGAACATTACTCCAAACTTAACTTTCTTAAGTTAACTTTCAGAAAAACTCTGGGGGTTGTGTTGTAGTCTGGATGGACAGAAACTGAGACCTTTGGAAACAGTGACACAGACACTCGCCTCTCCTCTTGATTGGGTCCTATCAGCCTTGATTACCAGTGGTAAATAGAACGTGGATAATGAATTAGAAGTGTTACAGTCCTTGTTGTCTTTGCTACCAGCTATCGTTCAGTTGAATTCAGCATTTTAATGCTACAACTGTCTTTGCATTAAAATGCAAAAGAATTGTTTTTAATAATAGCAAAGTGATAAAAGACTGTGTTTGTGAAGAAAGAAAGAGGATTGAGGATTATAGAGTAGGAAGTGAAGTAAAAATTAATTCATAGTATTGATCAACAGCTTTCACACATGCAATTTTGTAATATTATTTCCCAGAGTCAGTAAAAAACACACTTCTTCTCCCGTTTTGAAATGCACGAGGACTTGTCTTGTGCGTTACATTTTTTTTTTATACATGTTAACTTTATAATATATAGAAATCAAATGTATGTTAAATGTAATTTTTTAGCAGTACAGCATTTGTGTGCAGATAGTCAGACTCTCCCTGCTGCTGCTTCTGCTGGAGCCGGTTGGAGTCCTCAGGGAGCCTGGCGAGCTCTGACTAATCCCCCGTGTGACTGACAGATAGCAGAGCACTCTCGGCCCAGCCTGTTAGCCTGTAGCCTCCATCCCATAGTCTGCTCACACTCCACCACAAACCCACTTGGGGATTTGATAGAATTGGAAAAAGATTTATTCAGTGGAGCCAAAATTAGATGGTGGTTGCACAGTTTTCTCAGCTTCAGTGTGTTTGTGTGTGTGTGTGTGTGTGTGCGTTTGTGCTTGTGCGCGCAGATGTCATGATAAGCCTTATACCAGTAAAGGTGCTTATTTAGCTTTTAGTGTTTGTTTCGTAACCTCATGTGTGGTCTGAGTTGGACTGCAGGACTGTGGGTTCTTTGCATCACTGGAAACGGTTTGTCAGAATAGTTAAGTATTTGTATTTTCACTGTTTTCTTGACTCACACCGTTTCTTTTTCCTCTTTGTCGATCTTTCATCTGCAGAATGAACAATCTCAGCTTTGTGCCTCATTATACAACTGACAAAGATGGCTGACGTCTGGATGCGTGATGCTTTTTTTCCTGTGTTAGTTTCAGTAGAATCACTAGAATCCATATCCCACCTAATCCTATTAAACTGCAGTCTCAGCTCTCAACAGTGTCATTTGTGTGGAATTTAAGCTGCCACCTGACCAGCTGTACTTTCACATCCTGAGCTCAGGCTGTCACTTTACATTATACCCCACATATTCAGAGCTTCCATCTGTTACTGCTCCACACACCATGTGACACCAACACAACAGGTTAAACTACACCTGAAAAAGCAGCTGTGCTTCAGCAAACGTCTGAAATATTGGCTACACCTCAAACTGAATGCGTCCACACAGAGAGGCTGATGGCAGATTTACAGAGCCTCCTGCAAACAACTGTCAGCTTTAAAGGTTTGGGACACTGGAGCTGTTCAGTTCAAGCAAAGTATTCAGACAGATGATGTAACTGGGCACAGCTGCAGAAGAGTACATTTAAATCCACCGTCACTAGGTTAGATCTAATGTAGACTTATCTTAACCTCAGTGGGGAAGGACTAATTTTAAAAACCAGTTAAATATATTAAAACTTCAGTCAAGCACTAACATGAAGGGATATGGAAGATGTATTTTGTCTCTCAGCATCTCCCATTGCGAACACACATTAAAGAAAAAGACATAGAAAACATTGGCAGAAGAGTAAAGAGCAGAAAGATTTAAGGGCTGAGTTTCTTTAGGTTGCTGATGACTAAAGGTGATCAGTTCTACATGTCCTCTGTAATGTTACAGTGGGAGACTAAGATTCCCTGAATAACAGATGTAGTGAAATCAAAATTTCTGTACAAATCTCCCCACACAGAAACCAGATATTGAAGTCCTAGTGGTTTAGATTTGGCTGACAAATCCTCTTTGTGAATGTGTTCTAGCTGCAGCAGTAACAAATCTGATGGCCTGAATCCTTCAGAGTAAAGTCACAATTTCCACAGCAGCATTTACACATAGTTTGTGCATTAACAGTCAAAAAGGGGGTAGAGTGGACTTCAGTCTGAACATGTCACCGCTGTCTACAGATGGTCTGTCTAGACTGGATTGTTATATGTGACCCCCAAATATATGTATGCATTGTATATGTTATATGTTGTATATATTATTAGTCTAAAATAATGTCACTACTAGCTATCATTAAAGGCCTGTTGGTTTTATTTCTTGTATAAACATGAATGTGTGTGACTGACAGACTGACTGACTACTCCCCAAACTTTCTCTGAGTGATCATTGTACAGTAAATACAGCTGAAATTACAGTACACTCTCTGCCTTTAACTGATGTGTGTGGTGATGTTGTCAGAGGACGTTGTGATTATAAAATCAGGATTTTAGCAGCTTTTAGCTTTGAAGTGACTGCTGATTAACATGTAGTCTTAATCGGCCACGTTTCAGTCACTGTTTCAAACTAGTTCAAACAGAAAAACATGTAAATGAGAAGCTTTAATGTGAATTCAACTGAATTAAAATACTGTGTATGTGACCATAGAGAGGAGGATAGAAGAGAACAGATAAACAGCTGTAACCAGCTACACTGAAACCAGCTGACACTGGACTTAAACCAGCTGACACTAGACTGAAACCAGCTGACACTGGACTTAAACCAGCTGACACTAGACTGAAACCAGCTGACACTCGACTGAAACCAGGTGAAACTAGACTGACACTAGACTGAAACCAGCTGACACTAGACTGAAACCAACTGACACTACACTGAAACTAGACTGACAGTAGACTGAAATCAGCTGACACTACACTGAAACCAACTGACACTACACTGAAACTAGACTGACAGTAGACTGAAACCAGCTGACACTAGTATGAAACCAGCTGACACTAGACTGAAACCAGCTGACACTAGACTGAAACCAGCCGACACTAGGCTGGAATCAGCTGACACTAGACTGAAACCAGCTGACACTAGACTGAAACCAGCTGACACTAGACTGAAACCAGCTGAAACTAGACTCCTGCACATTGATTTATTTGTTGCAGTCACATACTGATCCTCCCCCCTTCTCTCTCTCACTCACTCTCATACACACACACACACACACACACACACACACACACACACGTCTGTCACAGTCAGACTGATCGGTCATTCATTACTTGTGACAGTTTGGTCCTGATGGGCCTCGCACCTCAGTGCTGGAGCTGCAGGCGGTGGAGCAGATGGAGTCTTTCTAGCACCTGGGCAACCAGCACCAGCACTTTACCAGCATGGGTAACCCAGCAACAGGTGCTGCTGGGTCTTCAAGCACCCGTTTCTTCTGAAGTGACTCCTGTTCCCACTCTAAAGCAGGACAAATGCTCAAGTCTCATTACTCAGGCTGCCAAAATAAATCAGCAACAACCAGAACCAAATGGCCAGCTGGTCAGATGGAGACCACATCCCTCCATCACACATCAATAAAACTGATATTTTTACATGAATTCTGTGAAGTTAAAACTCAGATTTAGTTAAAGTATGTGCTCTCTCTCTCCCTCCCTTTCTCTCCCTCCCCTCCCCTCTCCAGTCTTATAGACCGGATGCTTCAAAGGGACCCCAAGCAGCGAGCATCCCTGGATGAAATCGAGACACACACTTGGCTGCAGGGGGTTGACCCATCCCCAGCCACCAAATACAACACTCCCCTGGTCTCCCACAAGAACCTGTCCGAAGAGGAACACAACAGCATCATCCAGCGCATGGTGCTGGGAGATATTGCTGACCGAGAAGCCATAGTCGAGTAAGTAGCTGCAGGCCTCACTTCCTCTCTACTGTACAGACACTGTGCTGCACTAAAGCTGGAAACATGCAGAAGTTGGCATTGCTCTCTAACACTGCTCCCATATAGGCTTGATTTTATACTTACTGTATATTATACTTGCTTTTGAACACAGCGTGGCATTCTAACATTTTTAAATCCTTATGATGTAAGACGTTCTCTTTTAAAGCAGGGTTAATGGTAAATGCAGCAGGGCTGGGTCAGAGTAGTTACTAATAATCAGTCTGTTTTTACCTAATCATTTGTCCTTTAGTATCTATAGGTTGTTAGCATGGGGCTAGGATATTCTACAAATACAACACTTACCCACATTTAAAACTTTAATATTCTTGTTACTGGAAATGATGTGTAACATGTTTTCCTGCCACATAGGATTTAGTCTATTGATGAATACATTAGTAGAACGCATGATTATTCAGTCTGTGTAAAATGTCACAGTCAACATTCCCAAACTGCAGTATGTCCATATAATTCTGTATCAAAACATCCAGCATCCAAAATAATCACAAAAACACCAGTTTCAAACTGAGAACATTCAGTTTGTCAGGTTACACCACATTCAGGAAGTCCATGAGTGTGAGTGTTAAAACACTGCACAGTGGGTTATTGGATGTGATCTTACAGCTTTGCCTCAACAATCACAAAGTATTGAGTAGAAATATTCAGTTCACATCACAGAGTAAATCTAGGGATTTGGGACTGGGCTCTAGCATGAGAAAATTTGGTGCTAATGAACAAATGCAGAGGTGTTTCCATTGGTCCAGTTTATGGACATATTAACCAAGAGATCATATGAAGTAAGAAGTTACCAACACACATTGATACTAAGAGCTGTTGAGGAGTTTCTGGTTGTGTCCTCTGAATCTGGGCAAGAGTGAAATCCACAGCTTGTTTGACTGTTACGACCCCGTCATTTATAAAATGTAGACGTGATGAGATTAAAACTCTTTTTTGTTTGACCTTTTTACCAACAACTTACATGTAGTTTATTAAGTTATCTAAAGGGCAATTAAATTTAGAATGAATTAATGTCAATATTTTTAACAGTTATCATCAGTTTAAACTACCAGTCAAAAGTTTAAAACTGCTGCAGCACCCTGGTGGCTCACCTGGTAGAGCATGTACCGTGAAGGATTAGTCCTAACCACAGCAGTACAACCTGTGCCCCTTTGCTGCATGTCATACTCTTTTACAAACAGCGAATCATTGAATCTGAATGTTTGACTCCTGCAGCTGAACTCTCTCTGTCATTCTCTCTACAATGGAAGGAAATGTGGTTAAGAAAGTGTCCAGTTCATCCCAAGCTAGCTCCATGGGGTTCAAGTCTGGAGACTGTGCTGGTCTTCATGAAGCCTCCATCTGGTTCTGGGCCCGTATTCACAAAGCATTTTATCTTACTACTAAGAGTATTGCTAAGTGATGCCAAAAGTTTCTAACTAAAAGTTTTCTCCTAAGCCCTATTCACAAAGCTGCTGAGACCAACTTTCACTAAGGAAAAGTGAAAAGTCCTCAGCTAAGAGTGCGACTCTGTTGCTATGGCTGATGTCAGTTTTCATGGATGAGCTCGCTTGCAGGAACCACAGTGATTGGTTGATGAAAGACCATCTGTGCAGCTGAAAAACGCATGTTCAACATCCTGCAGTAATAATAAAAAACACTGAGAAATAAATGAATACACATTAAATAATAACAGATCAGGTGCTGTTCAGTAAAGCAGTGCATTCTCCAAAATGCATCTGTATGATCAGGTTTGTGTCGACACGGGAGAATTTAATTTTACTGTAAAAACTTACATTCAATTCTCTCAATGGAAAAGAAAAAATTAAAACTAACCTGTCCTAGACAACCTAACTAAAGCTAACTGACAACCTGTTAGCCACAGTCGGTTGTAGCTGTACCTGTTGTAATGTAGCTGTGGTCCCAGCTGTGGGTTGAGGTGTGAACATTTCCTCTGTCCCACCAGGTGACATCCAGCTGGAATATGAGCCTTTCAAACAGCTGATCAGGTCACTCTCCATTAAGATCCATGACTCGTGTGAAGATCCTGAACACTGAACAACAATGTTTACAACTGTACAGGCAGCATCAATACAACCTGTGTGTTGATGGTGTGATTTTGTTTTCCTGTTTACAATTACCTCCTCCTCTTGTGATGGTGCAATAACTTTTACTTGCGTTCCATCTCTGGCACCGATCACAGCAGGTAGACCGACCATGAAGCTGCTTCATGTCTCTGTAGTTGTTGAACATCTAAAAGAAATCGTATAAATTCTCCTATGATGTCGGGTCACAGCGCATTTATTGTTTGATGAATAGAAACAGGAGATTATATATATATATTAGTAAATCAGCTGTGAATAATGTTGAGCCACAATCATTAATCAGTGAGAACTGGACTCACAGCTGCAGCATCATGTAATTACACTGACAGCAGTCACACTGCTCCATTTTGTGCCTCCATAGAATGTGGGTCAACCTGTTTCTGTCTCACTTCACTGTCCTTGTGTGTGAGGAGCCACATCACACACACTGACACTAATAGACGGCTGCGGTTAAAGTGAAAGACACTGACTCTCCACCCTGCAGCTGCAGGAGAATTCCTGTGCTGCTCCATGCTGAGGGAGGGAAGAGGAGCTGCAGGGGAACATTAGAGGAATCAGAAAGAGAACAGCTGCTGATTTCAGTGTGACACTTTGTTTCACAGCTCACCTTGGTCTTCCTCTACAGAACCAATACACACACCCATGAAGTGCACACCAGAGCACAGCCAGTATGTCGTGGACTGATTTGTCAGTATAAAAGTGTCATAGAAAGATACAGTCATGAGACTTTACAGGTGTGTAGTTGAGGTCAAAATGAAGAGTTTCAATTAGGGCTGCCACTAATGACTATGTTTCTGTCGACAATCTTATCGAATAGTCGATTAGATCCAGAAAATCTAAATGACACTGGCATGGTCAATAAGTCCAGATTTAGCATTGAGTATTTATCAGCTACAATGACAAAAGATATGAAAAAGCTCTGTCTACTAATGATCAGACAACCCTTACACATGAAGTAATCCTTCACATGTTTGTGACTGATCTCACTGTGCGCAATAAAACATAATAATCACAAAATAACATCGGTTAAACAAGACTTAGAGTGAAGTGCTTTGAACTGTGATGTCGTCAACTCCTGTGAGCTTCAGTTATCTTTACTTTTTTCTCGACGTTTCAACATTTTTCAAGAAGTGCATGATGGAAAACAAAATCTTCCTCCTCTCATATTTTTTCTCATCAATGGCCCTAATACTCTTTCATAGTGTCCGGCGCAGCTTCTGCCGCGCTGTTTGCGCCGTGTGAGAGAGAGAGAGCAGAAAAATATAATATTATATATAATATAAATATATGTCGTCTGTGTCTTCATGGTGAGGGGATCATTTTCACACTACTTAATGATAATAAACCACGCCCCCTTATTTCTCCTTGCGTGTAACTTAAAAATGTCTGACTGCAGTCACGTGGGCCATGTCTGTTTTTGCTGTAGTAATCCTCTGAGGTCTCAGTAGTTAGGTGATGTGGTCTGTTGCTCACTGAAAAACTTTTTTTTTTCTTTATTTTAGTTTTTGAAAGAGTCAGTAAAATGAACAGCAGCTCCCTCCTCAGTATAACCCTCACAGCCACTATAAAACACATGCTCACAGTTTATCTGTTGTAAATTAGTTAGCCACAAAGCTCATGAGCCGTTAGATATACAGTGTCATACTCATTCTGCCTAAGCAATATAGGTCAATATACCTGCAATGCACCTGTCAGTACAGTTACAGTCGTGTCAGTATTTTCACGGATTATATTTTACTCAGTTTGTCTCAGTGCCTTTTAATCTCCTGAGCTGATGACATCTCATTCAATATAGCTGATTAGAGCTGGCGACTTAGACCAGCGGGAAAACACTAGCAATAACTGTGTCTACAATGAGACAAGTAAATGAGAGTGAACGCTAATTCAGACCCGCCCCTACACTACACTCTGTGCTCTCCTGTCTGGTACAGTGGCTCACTTTACGCTCAAGTGTAATACAGCAGAGACCTTGCTCAGCTTTCACAGACTGTGTGCTACAGAGAGCTGTGTCTCCAGGTCTGATGGTTCTCACTCACTCAGCTACAGAGCAGGAGTTTGATTGGTTCTCATACTTTAGGCCTGTCAGTCAGTCAGTTCTGCCCCATGTGATGAAATGAAGCTGTACCTCATGTATTAAGACACATTTCTGAAGGAAGACACAGTTCAGCTGCAGTTTCTGCTTTTCTATTTTCTAATCACGGTTTAGTTTCCTGAGAATTTAATCTGAGTTTATTCTCAGTAAATCCAGATATTAAATGTCTCAGCCTGACACACGTCTTTTATTTCTGATTTTAACAAGTAACACAGCTTTTTTTGTATTTATAAATAAAATTCTGTTCATTTCATATGTTGTATGAACATTATGTAATGATTAAAAAAAAGCGGTGGTTTGGTCTGATAACTTACACTGTATCATGTAACAGCCTGATGCTGTTAATACTATTAGTTTTCAAGTAAGAGCAGGTTTTCAAAAATGGAAGCCTCAAATAATAACAGGCACAAACAATATTAAGTGCATTTCCTTAAACCATTTTATTTATGTGCATTTCAGTGTGCACAAGAAAGAAAATATGGCAATGACTCAAGGTAAACAACAGCAAATTAAACAGATGCAGATCACAACAACACAAAGATGTTTCCTATTAAAATATGATTTAAATGAGAAATGGGAGAAAATGAGAATGTATGACATGAGCCTGATTCAACCACAACACCATCTTTTCTCACAATTCAGGTAAATAAAAAGCACTGTTTTAAAATGTACATCATGCCCTCCATCTCCATTTTCACTTTTATTATATAGTTCAATTTAACAAAAGTGTAGTGTAAGATTAGTAATATTTAACTCTGAAACAACAGAGTCTCATCAACATATCATAACACAGAGGTTTATGATTTACCAAACACCTGGTGCAGAGAGAGAGAGAGACTCTGCTCTGTTCAACTGTCACCACCGGAGTCCGGCAAGTTACTCCAAAACTGTAATTAACTACTCATTAAAGTAAACAAATTAATTGTATTACTTGAATAATTACTCAGCAACTCTTAACATTACTTGTGTTACTTGTGACTGTTGTGACTGACTCTCCAGAAGTCCCGCCCTCAGCAGTGTGGCTACACACCCTCCACCTCTAACAGAGAGGTGACCCCTGAATGTTAATGTAACTGTGGCCAAGAACAGTAAGACGACTAGGTATTAGCTGGAGTTGCCTTTCTCCTCTTCTGGTAGAAGACGTACCACCTGCCCCACACCTCAGCCACATCCCAGACCAGTCTGCCCAGTCTGCCCAGTCTGCCCATCGAGCACAGAGATCAAACTGACATTAACCTCCATCAAACCCCCAAATGTCAGCTGAGTAACAAATGTCGTTGTTGTAATCCCGTACACTGAATTTACTACACTGAGAAAAGTATCTTATTACTTTAACTGTCCAGCACTGGTCACCACATGTACAAATAAAGAGAATTATACTCAGTGATTTGATGAGAATACCACATATTATGACTGATAAATATCTCTGCAGCTCTGACCCTGAGGCTCTGAGGTGTGTCTGTAACAGTGTGGAGATTACCTGTGAGCCTCAGGCACTGAGTACAAGCATATGTACAGAGGACGAATGCTGTCACTCTCTGTGTTTACAGTTGTTGGCTGCATTAGTTTCATTAATGTGCAGCCTCAGCTGTGATCCTACCAGCTGCACAATGTTCTTCCCTCAGAACAGACTTCACACATCAGGTCTGAGTCACAGAGGTCAGCAGGTTCTCACTGATATCATGTACTAGGACAGGATGCCTCAAAACCACATCAGTCATCACAGAGGTGTTTTCCTGCTTTGGATGTTTATGTCTCCTGGCCCGTCCGCAGGTCTGTTCAGTTCATCTGATGGACCCTGAGAGACAGACCTGAACCTGACGACACACTGACACAGTGTTGTGTTATTGTCTGTGGAGGAAGCTCAACCACAGTCTGGCTTTTCAGCTTCACTGTTGTTTTGTTGTTTGTGTTGCTGCAGAGTTTTCTCTCTTCTTCTATCTCTCTTCTCTCAGAGATGAGATAACATAAGGTACAAGTTGAGGCTTTACATGATTTCATACATAGATCAGTTTTTCCCTCAGGATGAATCCATTCTTACTCAGTCCTGAGCAGTCTGCTGTTGTCCTGAAAACTTCCTTTTTCCACTTCCTTTCAATTTGTTTATTGATTAGTTGATCAACAGAAAATTGATCTGAAACCATTTTGATACTCTAGTAAATGTTTGAAAGTCACAGATTTGTTGGTTGGTGAATTCACAGCGTTTTTGAATATGACAGAAGACTGAAAATCTTTTGGTTTTGGACAAAACCAGACATTTTAAGACGTCCTCTAATGATGTGGGAAAATCTAACATTTGTCTGTTTTCTATTTCATTTTATAAACAAAACGATTCGTAGAGAAAATAACTGTTAGTTTCCTCTTAACGCAGATGAACAAAATGAGCAAATTCAACCACACACCTTCACATAAATCGTGGAATTGTTTAATTTATTTTGGATTATGTCTAATGTAGACATCAACACTTATCTGCAGAGGCAACCAGGCAAATGTTTGGGCCCGCCAAGCCTAAAAGGGGTAAATTTTGCAAAGACAATTACAGTGCACTGCCGCTGCCTCAAAATCCCCTTAAGTGGGTCCCCTGATTATATGTTTTAGCTAGTGACTATGGATAACCTGCATGTGATGTGGTGGTGTGGGCTTCTTCAGTGGGCTTCTTTGTCTGGGGCCCCCCCATAGTCCAGGATTGCCACTGCCCATCTGTTACTGTTCATCCTCTTCTCTTATGTCTTGTTTTCTATATAATATGTTTCTAATGTGTCTGTGTTGTTTCAGAGCCCTGGAGACCAACAAGTACAACCACATCACAGCCACCTACTACCTGCTGGCAGAGAGGATCCTGAGGGAGAAGCAGGAGAAGGAGGTCCAGACCCGCTCGTCCAGCCCCAGCAACATCAAGGCCCAGTTCAGGTAAAGAAGAAAAACTGTCGGAGCAATAACAAGATGCCGCAGCTTCTATTTGATCCAGAGGAGCGACCCCCCTCCCCTGCTGTTTTTTTATGATCTAGTGAAGAGTGCGAGTAAGACCTATCACAACTCATCATCATAATGACTGAGTCATAGTATGAGCTGAGTATAGAGGGTAAATGGACCTGTGTCGCTCCACTGCCTCGCTCCAGCCACAGTTACTTCAGACTGGGTCAGTTCTCCAAAGGTTTCTTTTCCATTTGTGTGTGGACTGAGCCCCCACCTGCAGCCTCCACCTGCTGGGCTCCAGGGACAGAGTCTGAACTCTGAACAGATTCTGCACTGTGTTTTAGATTTTCCATCATTATTCTAACTGACTGAGGTTTTACATTCTTCCACTTCCCCCGGTGAGCTGAGTGAAGATCATATATCCCAGTTCATCCTTTAGCTGTCTAAGTGGTTCTCCTTTGCTTCCTTGCCAACATTGTTCCTCTTTAAAGGAGGAGGACGGTGATGAACAGTTATAAAAGGAAGAGCGACGGAGGAGAGGAACAAATAAGGAAGAAAGGAGTGAGGCAGCTGTGGTGTGAAACACTGGCTCAGTTCCCTCCACATTCCTGCTCTGCTCTACACAGAGATTCAGATCAGCTATGTGTCTGACAAAACCTGCCCCCATCAACCAGGCACCTGTCAGTGTTAGCACATACCAGCATCATTCACAGCAGAACCAGCTGGATCCCAAAAACTGTATCATACTACATCATTGATTATCAGTTAGTAAACAGCATTCATCTTACCAGTAAGTAGACGGGACTGGATGTTATTCTGTGCTCTAAATCAGTGACCCTTAACCTTTCTGATTCACGACACCCCAGAATGATCAAGTTGGTGTTTGCCACCCTGCATTGGTTTCGGCAGTGTACATTTAGGCTGATGTTTCTGAAGCTTGTTGGAGCCGGTGCCTTGTTGATGGTGCTGCTGTGGGACTTTCGGGTGACCCAGCCTCCTGTCGGCCCGAGTCTTGAGCTGCAGTGTGTTTTCTGAGAAGCCATCACTCAACGTGTTCCATGTGATGTTAAAAACTGGCTACAGCTGCTTGGTTAAACACCATACTGTGGCACTAAAGCAGCTAAATGAGTTTGGGTTTTTGTTCAATCATGAACTCATTTGCATGTGCACACACACACACACATAGACGGAGACACAGATGCTCTGTGTGAGGGACTAAAGAAGAGCTATAGTCTGTCTCTGGCCCCGGTGGTTCACCTGTTAGAGTGCTGAGACATGCTGCGGAGGCCATCACACGTGTTCTAAACTGGTCTCTTCATATATACCAGCTGATAACCAGTTACATGATGAGGAATAGACTGATGAAGCTAAATCTTGTGTTTAAAGCAGTGAAGTAAAAGGCCCCCCTCCCCCCTCTACCTGTTATGTTTCTGGTCTCCACAGGCAGTCCTGGCCCACCAGAGTGGACATGCACCAGGACATCGAGGACAGCTTGGCGGCGTCCTCCATCTCCCATGCTGGAGGCCCCCAGTCCCCGGCTCGCAGCGCCGAGAACCTGCTGAACGGACACCGCTCCAAAGGCCTGATGGAGCTGGGCCGGCGGGAGGAGACGGTGACGGACTCTCTGGGTCTGCCGGCTCAGGTACACGCGTCCTCACCTGGAGCTTCACCTCTAACACCACAACACTTTGACTCTGTTTGACTTTCTGCTGCCATAGTTACTGGACACCTCAACAACCTGTTGGAATTTATTTTGTTCTTTTGAAAATATTTCTTTAGGGAGCCTGTGCTGCCGCCTCGGGCCCCGCTCTTGGCTCTGGTTCTGGGACCATCAGGGCCCCCAGTCCCTCCACCTCAGGATCAGCCAAGCAGCGAACCTGCCTGTTCAGGTCTGATCGGTCTGGATCTGTTTTTTTACTTATTTTGTGTTTTTTGTTTGTTTGTTGGTTTTTCTGTTTAAGTATTTTTCAAGTCCATTTTCAGTGAATGAAACAGACATTATTGATTCATGTCAGTTATTTTCTCTATTAAACAATTAATTGTTGAGTCTAATAAAAAAAATTAAAAGTTAATATGATGTGTTGAAGATTTAGAAATATATTGAGCACATCTTCATATTTGGAAGCGGGAACCTGCTGAAGAAATATTAACTAAATACTTAATCAAAATACTTGATCCACTAATTGATTAATCAACTAATCATTCCAGCTCTAGATACCAGGTCTGCACCCACAGCAGCTGCTCTCGGGTCGACACAGTGGCTTTAAAACTTTGTTTTGCTTTATGATTCTGTCCTGTTACAATAAAAATCTAACATCTGATTGTTTCTCAGGGTGGAGGAGGATGAGGAGGAGGAGGAAGAGCAGGACCCATCTCCCCTCCCGACCCAGGTGATCTTGCGGCGTAAGCCCCCCTCCGTCACCAATCGCCTCACATCCAGGAAGAGCGCACCGGTGCTGAACCAGATCTTTGAGGAGGAGGGGGAGTCGGACGACGACTTCGACATGGACGAGGGTCTGCCGCCCAAACTCAGCCGCCTTAAGATGAACATGGCCGGAAACGCCACCAGCCTGAACTCGGGGGCCAGCTCCTCCTCATCCCCGGGGTCCACGCAGAAGCGCTACCACCGGCGTAAGAGCCAGGGGAGGGGGTCGTCGTGCTCCAGCTCTGAGACGAGCGACGACGACTCAGAGAGCCACCGGAGACGTCTGGACAAAGACTCGGGCTTCGGTTACGGCTGGAACAGACGGGACAGCAGCGAGGGCCCCCCCGGCAGCTCGGGAGGCAACGGGGGAGGCAGCAGCTCAGGGCAGGGGAAGCCTCCCGGAGAGGGCGGAGGTTCCTCCGGTCCAGACCGGAGTCCTCCTGGAGGGGGTGGGAATGGAGGTGGAGGGTTGTGGCGGGGAGTGGAGGAGGGAATGGGGGAGGAGGAGGGGGTAACAAAGGACAGGACAGCCCCTCAAGTTGTTGTAACAACAGTAGCACCACTAACCCCACCCTCAGCACTCTGTCGCGCTCCGCCCGCTCGGCGAGCCGCAGCACCGAGCTGGTGGAGAGTCTGAAGCTCATGAGCCTGTGCCTCAGCTCGCAGCTGCAGCACCACCGCGGGGGGCGGGGGGGCCGAGGGGGTGTGGAGGGAGGAGGTGGTGAGGGGAAGTTAATCATAGACCCTCGCAGTCTCTCAGGCGGGAGTGTGAAAATCCAGGAGAAGTCCGCCTGGAGGATGTGCATCAGCTCCTCGGCGAGCCTAGACACCATCACCCTGCCCACCACTGCCGCCCTGCCTCGCACCCACTCCGCCCAGCACCACCACCGCAAAACGGCGCCGCACAACCCCCCCGGCCTGCGGTCGGGGCCGGGCGACAGGAACGCTCACAGCAACCTGAGCACTTTGAAAAACGGCATGCTCCAACTACCTCTCTGTGAGAAGACCATCTCTGTGAACATCCAGCGCGGTGGAGGCTCCAGGGACGGTCTGCTCTGTACCTCCGCCCCCGCCAGCTGCTGCCAGGTGATCTGAGGCACCCCCCAACCCACCCCACCCACCCACCCTCCACCCCCATCACATGACGCTGCCCCTCCTCTGACCTCTGCACCTCCTTCACATCATTTACTCAACACACTACTCCACCTTTCACGTTCTGTCCTGTGTTGCTGTAGCAGATAGCTGACCTCACCTGTCCGTCGACATACCTGCCTTCTGCTGTCGTCTCTGAGCTCCAGCCTCCTCACTGTGTTTCCTCTGAGTTCATGTTGCTTTTATCTTTTATCTCTTTCTTTTTATCCTTCTTTTACATCTCCAGCTGCTTCGGATGAGAGGAACTAATATTTTCTTATTTACTGGTTTTAGAACAAAAATGACTGAAGGTTTGATTAGATGGAAACACAGAGGTGAAAGAAACAAGAGTCAAAATGAGAATGAAGTTGTAGTTTTACCCCAAAAAACAAATAATATAACAAAAACAGTTGTATTTTTGCATAAGTTTTAACTATTTAGTCATAAGTTTTTACAAAAATATTTGTAGTATTTCAAGATGAAGTCATAATTGTAGAATAAAAGTCAAAAATATTTTGAAAATACTGTTATTTAGAGATAAAGTTCTGACTTGATCATTTCCTCTCATGATCAGCTCCTAGCTGCTGTTACAGCGAACACTAACCTGAAGCCTTAGTGTGAGAGGAGCAGGGGACCAAAGGTGTGTTCATGTATTAATTGACAGCTGTGAGCTCCCGCCTCCTGATTCTGTCCTCCTCTGATTGGTTAGAAGAGTGAGGCTCCACATTAAGTCATGTTGTAGCATATTTCAGCTAAAAACTATTAGAAGAAAGTTTCATACTGCAGCTTTAATAAAATCACTGTTAAGATTAAAACTTTTTTCTTGAAATATCTTGAGACTTTTTTGTAAAACTACGACTTTATTATAAGTTTTAACATTATTCTAAATTAAATGGTCTTTTTTTAGTTTTGTAATCCAGACTTTTCTCCTTTTAAAATTCTTGTAATATTGATTCATTAGTAACTTCATCCTCAACATTGACCCTGATGTTCTGCTGCGTGTCTGCAGAAACATACAGTAGATCTCCATGGTAACAGACTAACACTTCCTTCCTTCACCTCTGACCTTTGACCTCTGAGTGTGAGCTGGCAGTGAGATCAGAACTTTGACCACTTCAGGGAAGAGGACAGGTTTTAATGTGAGTGACCTCTGACCCGGTTAGATCTTGTTTTCAAAAACCAGCTGTAACGTCACCTCCAACAAACACAGCCCTTTAAACCGGGACAGTGTCTCAGTTCAGCTTTTAAATTGGAGAGAAAGAGGAGAAACTGGTGGTTCATCACATGTGTGCACTCCTGTGGCAGCAAACAGCTGATTACATTGATAACCATGTTTATAACGTTACTGCTGTCCACTTATTTAAATCTGAGGTATTATTTTTTTACTCATGACGTGTTGTTGTTGCTGATACACGATATTTGTTGCGTCTGACAAAAACACACGTAGTCTGCTGTGATTCGACCTCTGCTGGCTCCTGTTGGTCCCACCTGCACTGACGTGTCACCCAAAGCTCGCTGCACATGTGTGTGTGTGTGTGTGCAGTGTGTCGACTCGTGTGTCGATTGTGTGTATATACAGTTTGTTGAAAAGTAAAGTTTATTTTTAAAACGTGTACATTTTTGTTTCTTTGAGCGATCTGCTGTTTTAACATGTTGACAGGGGCTAATGTGACGTCTCATTGGTTAAAGTGTGTGTCCAGGAAGTATTCAGACCCCGTCATTGGTCACATGTTGTTATGTTGCAGCCTTGCGCTAAAATCCTTCAGTCCACACTCAAGAAAAGTGTCTGAATACTTATGTCAACGTGATGTTTCAGTTTTTTTGAAAATAAAGCTACAACGTAACAACATGTGAAGAGGTGAAGGGTCTGAATACTTGAACTCTCTGTAAATCACCTGTGCAGGAGAGAAAGCTCACGACTCACAGCTTTAAAGGAGCAGACCAAGAGATGAACAAATGAGAGAGAAGAAAGAGGAGATTCTTTAAGGGCATTGGCAATAAGCTAAACAGTGTGTTGCAGCTATCTGTACAGAAACATTTTGTCATTCGTTTCATTTTTTAAACCCAAACGTGTGCAGCCTTAAAACTGCTACATTAAACTGAAAAGAGAAAAAAGGAAAAAGCTGTTTGAAATATTTTTTTTGTCTTTGGTTCTTTGTCTGTTTTCTTTTTGAAAACCAAATGTACATAAAGTTGTAAATATGGTGCTCTCTCTCTCTCTCTCTCTCTCTTAATCTAGAACAGCAGAGTGAACCTCTTGGTGCATAGCTGTACTGTAATCTAGCCTTATGATAATTAGTAATACTGTATGGGTGTCTCAGCTAAAAATAAAGCCGTGTGAGAAAAACGACACGATTTTCTTCATAGCGTCAGGTCTTTGACTGTTGTCTTACTCAGCTGTATCCAGGTGAACGACGTGCATGTGTTTCAGTGTTTGACATTCAGTGACTCTGAGAGGAAACAGAATCAGCTGCAGAAACGTACCGGACCAAAAAGCAACAGAAGAAGAAGAAAAAGAAAAAGAAAAAAAAAAAAGAGAGAGGAGCTGGAACTGACAGGAATATTCAGTGTATTATTCTGTAGTTGATACCTGTTGTCAGATGTTACATATAGCTATGGTAATATCCAAAAATAAAATGTGGAATACTGTCTCATACATGTCGTCTGCTTGGTCTTTCTTCGTAACACCTCTTTCGGCTGCACCGCTGAACTTCTCATGTAGGAGTCCAGTTCATGTCCCTCTGATGTCCTCTCTCTGTTAGCCTCCACCAGCTCCTGCTGAACGCTCCACTCTCAGATCTGATCAGCCGATAAGCTTGTATATGTTATTGTGCATTTTATGACTAAAGCATGAAACTCTCTCCTGTGTGTCTATAAACCCTGAAGGCATTTCAGATTTGACCTCTGGGTCAGGACAGACGGTGACCAAATTTCAGGCTGTTAAATTTCAATTTTTCTTCACTTTTCGGCAGACGTAAAGGCGATGTATGTCAGTTGTGTTTTATCTTTACGCTCTTATTACATGAACATGAACATGAGTGTGGTCCAGAGCAAACTAGCATGCTAGCTTCTGATTCGAATGTTTGCTAAAGTGCTAGCTCACAGCCAGGGATGTACTGGGACTGTAATTCAGCCCAGGACTTGAGATGGAGAGGCCCTATTTTTTTGGCAGTAATTTTAACACTAATAATGTTTTTGTGGTATAGAGAATCAAATTATGCTTAAGACATTCAAGCCACTTCAGGATGTCTTGCTGACGCCTGCCTCCTCAGTTTGTATGAGCACGTCGCCGCTGCACTGAATCAAAACAAGATCAGGTCAGAGCTGGACTCACAAAATACTTATGACTACCAAAATGTGTACAGTCAGTCAACAGAGGGCTCAGATAGTTACAATTGCTGTCTGTTTTGATTTGAATGTGATTTAATGATGGCTTTGTGTGTTAACATGTTGCAAACTGTTGTTTATAATGTATATATACGTCATTTTAGTGTATAATAATCGATGCATCACTAATGGTGCACCTGTCGTGTCCCTGCCTCTGGATCCCGCCTCATCAGTGGCCACAGAGACCTTTCCACTACGTCAGTTTGGTGCATTCATTTTTTCTGCACCACCCATTTTTTTTTGTCTGTCTTTTTTCTTCTCGCCAGGTTTCCGCCAAAAATGCTCTGAGCCGCCTCTCTGCTCTTACTACACAAACTCGACGCAGAGCCCTTGAATAGAGATTCAGTGATGATTCACACACACACTACGTGACACTGAGGAGGTTTTCTCTCCGCACACTCAGCGCTCTGCCTCGACACTCAAGTAACGCTGGAGCTTCCAGGGCAGACAACACACTCCAGGTTTATTCTGAGATGTTTGTGTGAACAGGCCTCTTCACCTCCACTACATGACACTGGTCAGACTGTGTGAAGCATGTTTCGGGCCTGCAGCAGTAAAACCCAGTAACAGAACAAACATACAACAGAAGCACGTTTCATCTTGTTGTTTATAGGTTTACTGAAGCCAAAGAGCAGCACAGAACCGTCAGTAATAATGTCAGGATATAAAACACTGAGATCGGCGTCGCATTTCAAGGCACCAGGGTGTTTATAAGAATTTATGGTTTAAAGCTTCAAGTCATTTTCATCAACAGTGGAAGAAACAAAGTAATTATTATAGTTAGAAGGTAATACCCTGGTCACATCACATGCTGAGAAAATACAAAATCAACATCATCTCATCACAATCTCTTGGATATGGTAGCAAAAGAAAGGCCATAAAATAATAACAAATAAATAATATTGAAATTGAAATTCACGGCATTAAACATTTTACTTTGAAAATCATCCCGGTGAATTTATGTGGTTTGAATTGTTGCTAGGTCTTTTTTTCAGGTTTAGACATTTAGGATCACATGACTGACAGACCGTCAGCTCTGTGACAAAACAACATTTCTCAAAGTAAAATATTTGACTGCTAATATGCCATATTAGTTGTGGTTAATTTATGTGTTGGGTTGCAGATTAAATCTTTTTGGCCTCTCTTTGCTTCCGTACTTGGAGCACAGAACTGGGAGTAAGACGTCTTCAGTTGCAAGCAGCTGCGGTACTGAAGCTCAGTGTATCTGTGGTTTAAGCCAGCATGTTATTGGTGAAGTGTGTGAGGTTATAACACCTTCATAACCATTTTTGGAAGGTAGACAAATTTTGACAGTTAAATAATCCCAAACCACAGTCCTGACTGAACCCGACCCACAGTGACTGAAACAGAACAAACAACTGAAAACTACATCCATCCATCCTGGATATAAAAATCTATATTTTCAATAGAATATTTTGTCATAATACAGCATTCATCCATGATTTGGACATGTGACTTTTACCCATTTTATCCATTTATCCCACGTTTACACCAAACCAAAATATAACCCCATTACAGTACGTCTCATTAATAATACACCTGGTACACAGGTACAC